GCGAGGCTTCGCTGGGCTCACAGCTTTCCTCGGCGCCATTTCAGTGGCTCCAAAGTCCCAACACCGGATTGAAGGAAAATTGCAATGCTAAACACTTTGGTATAGCACAATTGTCCAAGAAAACCTGTTGTTAGTAGTATTGAGAAAGAGAATGGGCGGATGCGGGGGAGAGAAAAGACTGAGACTCGATGCACAAGCCATTGTTTACAATCTGAGATGTTGACATGGCCCAATACGGGTTAGCGCCTCGACTCACCTAACAAGCCCGTTGATTGGTTGTCTCGCTCGAGACGAGGCTGATCTGAAAACCCCCTTCACTTCACTGGCCCAGATGTAAGCTTTTTCTCGTCATTGTTGACTATGTATGTATCTTCATTATTGGTCATTTTTCTATAGTTATTCGTACCCAATCACACCAACTTTTGGCCCACTCTGATGTACCCTAATCTATTACGTATATGAACATCACCGTTAATACCCAAACATTATGCTTAGCAGCTCAGAGAGTACACTGGCGTAGTTGGAGGAGGTGAGCCAGCGCCCACAAGTCCAAAACTTGGACTGGCACCAGTGTCCTGAAGAATGTACCACCAGGTGTTGACGCCTTCACCGAAGGCTGTGCATCCGACCTCGTCATAGTAAGTCTGCGCATTCTGGACCGAAGCAACAGCTTGTCCACTGGTGGGACCCGAGACAGGCCAACCTGTTTCAGTGATCCAGACAGGCTTACCCTGAGCGGCAGCAACCGTCACGTCATAATCATCCCAAAAGGTAGCGTTGGCGTTGTCGATGCTGTTCGCTTTGGTCGTCTCATAATAAGGATACGCGTCCACACCAAGGAAGTCGCAAGCTCCAATCAGGTCGTTTTGGCTGGAATTGGTCCAGACATTGTAAGTGTCGACGTGGCCAACGGGCTTTCCTGCGGCCGAGGTACCGGCGATGGCCGATCGAACCTGGTTGATATAGTTGATGATTGTGGCTGGACCCACACCGACACCAGAATTGTTCTCAATGCCGATTGGGGTGATGCGGTAGATGTCTTCACTGCCCACGCTGATGCCAGCAATCAAGTCGGTGAAAGCTGAGCCATATTGTGCGATGGCGGCATTGAGAGCGGCAACCTCGTTGGCGAATATGGCATCCCCGGCGGATGCCCACAAGCCGAGCAGGAGGGATGTGCCGGTGCTGATGGCTGCTGGGATGGCAGAGATGGGAGTGTTGGTGGTTCCGTCTTGAATCATGGTATACAGACGAGCAGAATCAAAGCCCAAAGCCTTGGCCGAATTGAATTGACCTTCAAAGGCAGACTGGTCGTTGCCCGCGGAACCATAATTGAAGCCCTTGTATGCAGCGAGAGTGGAAGGCAGGGCAGCCACAATGGCAAGAATCTGTGAGGCCCGCATATTGTAGATATTATAGATATGAGATGTATGCTAGATCCAGTAACGAGCGTAACGAATCGATAGATTTAAGAAAAGGAACAAGTTATATGGTTGCAAGGAAGATCGGGAATCTATTATAAGTAGCAGACGGCAGGGCACGAATAAATGGAAAATCGCAAAGGGACGAATATGGTTGGGGCAAAGCTTGAACAAGTCGGGGAAGGTTCTACCTCGAATACTGACTTCAAGGTGGCGGCAAGATCGAGGCGCAGGAGAAACAGATGATGGTGGTGGTGGTGGGTATTGCTGAGAGAAAAAAGTAGCCATTCGACGGGATGATCAGGGCAAAAAGAGGGTCGACATGCTTGGTTTGTCGCTTACGACTCTGAGGCGACGCATAGACTGACACCCAGAAGCAGGCACTGGCAGCACCAGCAGGGCATTTGGCAGGGGAAGAAAAAGCCGTTGCCGAACGATGGGTACGAATAGAGAAAAATTCTGATGGGTGTTTGTGGGTGACAGCATCCAGTGGAATGGCGTAGCAGGGATGGTGGGGGTTGAGCAGGGGTTCATGATGATGGTGACGTATTTTCTCAAGGATGGTTTCGGAGGATTCCACTGGCAACTACAGGCACGAAGGACCGACACTCAGCTGCAACTGCAATTGCAACTGCACAATTGACGGTCGTACCTGCATCATACGAGTCCTTACGACCTACCCATGTACCAACCAAAAAGTGGGCCAGTCAAAAACTTGCTCCGCGTGCTTCCATTGACTCTTCCGCCTGAAACTCATCCATTCAGAGTCTCCCTTGGTGCCCTCACCTACTTGTAGTAGTTGTAAGCCCTGCTCCTTCCACGGGTTGGTGTCGTGACTAGCAAGTCAAGCTCGCATCACCGGCCCAGGCAAAAGAATACACCCCAAGAAATGCAGTATTGTGTACTTGTATAACCACCTACTCCGTACAACCGCTGTACATGCAAACAAAATCACAGCTTCATGCCCAGCGCCTTGTGCACCTTCAAGCTCTGTCGAATACTCAGATCCAGCATGATTTCCTCGCTGCCTCCTGGGATCTTGTATGCCAGAGTATCACGGTACAACCGCTCAATCTTCCCACCCTGTCCACCGCGCGAATAAGCCAGGCCACCAAATACCTGAGCCGCCTCCTTGGCGCAGAACTCGAACGTCGTCGTAGCCTGAGCCTTGAGCCCTGCAATGGCACCGCCCAGCCGCAGCATGGCCTCCGTATCGCCCATCCGCTGGCACTGGTAGATGATGTTCTCCAGCCAGTTGTAGCTGGCCTCAATTTGGCGCGCCATGTGTGCGAGCTTCATGCGGATCACGGGGTGGTTGATGAGCTTCTGCCCAAACGTCTTTCTCTTGGACGCATACTTAACACATTCTTCGAAGCAGACGCGGGAGAAGCGCAGGCATTGAATGACGATGCCGATTCTTTCGTGGTTGAAGTTGGTCATGATCACTGTCGCGCAGTCCAATCAGCAGCTAATACCTTCGACAGTGGTAGGCGTCTTCTTACCTTGGAATCCTTTGTTGACTTTGCCCAGAACATTTTCCACAGGCACCTTGACGTCCTCAAATGTAATGTAGGTAGTCCCGCTGCTCCAGACACCCTGGCAGTCCATACGTCGAGTGCTCACCCCTTCGGTGCGCTCGATCAACAAGAGGCTGATGCCGCCCATTCCTGGACCACCGGTTCTCACGGCAGTCGTGAAATAGTCACTCCAGATGCCGTTGGTAATCCACTTCTTCTCTCCGTTGACGATAAAATGCTTGCCGTCCTCTGACAGCTTGGCCTCGCATGTCAGATTGGCAACGTCGGAGCCGGCGTCAGGTTCGGTGATGGCCAGGCATATTCTCTTGTCTCCAGAGAGGATACCTGGGAGAATACGATTAAGGAGCTCTTTCTTGCCATATTTGACCAGCGGCGGACACCCGATCCCAAAGCCTCCGATCAGATTCCAAACCAGTCCACCAGAACCGGTTCGTGACAGCTCATCCGTCAGGAGCAACTCGTGAAACAAGTCCCATTTCTCCGGCGGGACGGACTTGACGGGGTTCTTTACCAGATGCGCCGGGTACTTGACACCCAAAAGACCAGCCAAATAGCCCCGTTCGCCCATCTGCTTGTAGATCTCCTCAGGTACTCTCTTGGCCTCGTCCCACTCGGTCACGTAGGGCTCGAGCTCGGTGTCGACCCATTCCCGAACTTCGGCACGGAGGGCTGCGTGGGTCTCGTTGTAGTATGGCGAGTGGTACTTTTGCATTCATTTGTTACTCAGCGTCCCAATTGCGGTTGAAGGAAAGCAAGTCAAACTTACACCTTGATACCAGCTCGGATCACCAAAGGGAATCAGAGACCCGAAGGGATCCAACGCCTCGACTTCTTCCGACGCAGCCGGACCCGGTGCAGGAGCAACGGTCCCAGGCTCTGCTTGCGGGCGGACCTTTTCCGCCGGGGGCGGCGTCGCCGGAGGTGTGGGCGGTGCTGCTGCTGCTTCTACCTTTTTGGTGTCCAATGACCCGACCTGCAACTTTGCCTTGAATTTCTTGAGGATCCCCTCGTTGTGGTATTTCCAGAACTGCTTCGAGGCGTCTTTCCCGGCCACGCGTTGCAGGACTGTCCAAAATCGAGCCGCGTTAGTCTTTTTGAAGGGAGGGGGGGGGGGGGGCGCATTCGGGGATTTGGGGCTTTTTGGCCCGGGCAAGGGAGGGAGGGGGGAGACTCACTCTTCTTCCCACCTATATAAATGCAGGACAACACGCCGAGTCAGTAAAATGGGCTTTCTTTTCACAAAATGCGGAGGGAGGGAGGGACCGGAGAGGGACTAACCTGGATGCTCATCTTGGAATTTCGTCAGGTCATAGACGTCCTCGTCGACGATGATGTAGAGGTTGTCGGCCTTGTTGTGCGACGCCACGTCGGCGGTCGAGAATCGTTTCGACATTGTGGCACGGACAAGTTCAGAATGGGGGGATTGGCGGGTTTGCGAGTCACTGAAGGTGAGTAAAGTACGTGGTAGGTGGTAGCACAAGAACTCAGAGGGTGTGTGTCTCCCTCAAGAATCAAAAAAACAAGATTCACTGGAAAGGTGGTCAAGGAGCGTAGAGAAGATCCAAGGAGAAAGGAGAAGCAGAAGAAAAGGAAGGGATGCAGTCCCCGTTTGTAAAGGTTGACATTGTGTGTTATTTTCACATGCCCCGGCATTCTGACACAAGGCAAGGGCATGATCAGTAACCGCAAAGCCGCACGCCGTGCGCCGCATGTCGCACACATCATCCATCATCATCATCATCGCGGGTCACGCTCCTCCACAAAAAGGGGGATCGAGGTTAACTGGAAACCGGAGACTCCGATGATGATTTGGGTCCATTTACCCAGCGTCTGATTCGTTGTTGGGGTCGGTCAGATGATGTTTTGGCGGATCGCAGACACTTCCCTCCTTGTACACACACCAAGGTGCCAAGTGCCGAGGCATTTGTACAGCCAATTTGACTACACTAACATCATCACATGTCATTGCTCCAGGGTAATGGACATCAGCACGTGCTTTTTTGTTGCCATCTTTCATCTACACAATTTCCCCCACAAGAACCTATTCTCCGCCTGTACCTCCAGTATTTGCCCGTTCTCTCAATCGCCGCCCTTCCATTAGTCCTCGCAGACCCCGTTTCTGAAGCCCAATCACTGAGCTGAGATCGCCCGTCCATATTTCTTGCGAGTCCCTCTCTCCATGTCCAGTGTGCTCGGCGTTGTCGTCTTGCCCCGACGTCTCGGTGTCCGTTCGGGACATGTCAGTCGACGTTGACGCCGAAGTGGCCGTCGATGCTGAATCCATTGAACTCGACTTTCCATGCCCTCTTTTCTTGCTGGGCTCTTCGTAGTTTGTCGCCAGCTTGAGTCCCGCAGTCTTGTTCGTGAGACCCACTGTGGCTTCTGCAATGGTCGTGGCTTCGCTCTCTCGTCGACTCATGCCTACCAGGTTGCTGCCGGCAACACCCCGGAGGCCTCGGCCACCTCCTGCAGCCATCGCAGCCGCATTGAAGACGGCGGCAGAGTTTCGCCCGTCCAACACCTCATGCAGACGTTCGACTGTGGCTTCCAGCAGTCCGTCGACCTGGTAGGGTCTGGCCATCTGCAACAGAGAGCACAGCGTGTGCGGTGTGCACAATGGTGATCCCACCGGTGGCAGCGAAGATGTGTAGAGGAAATGTAGCAACAGGTGGATCGTGGGAGCCATGTGAGGCAGGTACAAGGATCTCGGTCGACTTGAAGGTGGGATGTTGATGGTGTTCGGCAGCTCGACCAGTGTTCTGGCCGTGGATCGACTCAGTGATCTCTGGGGATCCAGGATGCCATCACTTCCTGCCGTAGCCACTGCCAGGCCATTCGCTGCGGCTGGCGTGATCGTCAGCGTAGAGTTGCGGCTGGCCTGCGACCTCATACTTGGCTTCAACGTCGCCCCGTCCGATATACTGACATTCTCGTGCGTTGACACAGACTCAGCCAGGAGCTGATTAAAGAACGGGCCCCAGCGTCGAGACAGGATGTATGAGTTGCACGGAATCTTTTCTCCGCCCAATGCCACAATCTCCATGTCAGAGAGCTCTGGCAGACTCAAAGCCGCCTGACCGAGTTGTTCGGCGGTGCTATTGTATGGTCTTCCGCCAGCGGTTTGACCCAGCAGACTCGATTGCATCGACGGAGGAATGTTGGGAGCAGATACCGAAACATAGCCCGAGGTCGGAGCCACCTTTCTAGGGTTGTCATAAAGGCCAAATGCTTCCAGCTCAACCATGCAAACGTGACTGAAATTGATCCGTCGATGGTTGTAGTCGTCCACCAGGCTTCGCTTCCGGTTCCCAAGAATAACAAACGTATTTCTTCGGTTCCACAGCACACCCCGGTTCCAGCTCCCTTGGGAGAAGATCAAGCCATTCGTGTCAATGCGTGCCCACGTTAAAGTTTTGAGATCCAGCGCCCACAGCGCGTACTCGTGTTTCGACGAAGTCAGGTATGTCCCGCTGACTACAAAGTGGCCATCAATGATGCCGCCATTGGGAAAGCGCAGCCCAGGCGGGGACACGGTGCCAGTTACAGGCTTCTCCATCAATGAACCGTCTGGTAAGCGAACCTGCAGCTCCAGCTTGACGTCCAGGAAGTTGTAATTGGAGTATATCAGCATCGATGTCCCGGGACGCGAACTGGCTCTTTGGGCTTGTGGATCATTCAACGGAACCCCTCGACCAATCAGCTCCGCGGATAGTCCTGTCATGGGAGCAACCATGCTTTTATATGCTCCGCATTTGCGGTCCCAAGCTGTCGTGCCTGTCCACCTCAGACTGCGCAGGTTGAAGACGCTAAACTGTTCAATGTAACTGTTCGTGCTGTCTTGGCCTCCGGCGACAACCATTTCTGCGCCACCAGTTCCGTCCAGTTGTACTCCTAGCGTACCGGAATGAGGATCGGCAGACGGCGGGTTATGCTGGATGGCGGAGAAGGGAGCATTGGCGGATGTGAACACAGCAGACGATGGCAATATCGCCGCACAGTGGGCGTAACGGCCTTGGGGATTTTCAGGGGCCTGGATTAGAGTCCATTTTCGCGTAGGTACATCAAAGATATGGATATCGGACATGACCACGACCTCTGGTTGGCCTTCTGGCTTGCCCGGTTGGCCAGTTTGCGCAGGCCTGCTGCTGTGCGGTGCAGGTGACATGCCACCGTAGCAGACCAGCTTCGAGTCCCCGAGGGCACATACACTGTGGAAGTAGCGAGGTGGAGGTACATCTCCGAGTGCATCGACCTTGATCCAGTGCCGGCGGATGAGATCAAGCTCGTAGAGGTCCGAGGACAACTGTGGTTTCGTTCGAGAGTGTACCCTGCCCCCAAAAACATACAGCTTGTCGCCCAGTATTGTTGTCGTTGCGCCAACCAACCCCGGGGGCTCTTCACCTGTCGTCCTGTGCACATTGCAGACCAAACCCGACAAATTTGTCGGAGCTGAGGTATGCTGAGTAACCGAAGATGAGATGCCGATATTTCCTCCTGTACCATCCACGGGTTGGTTCGAGCCATTTGCGCCCTCATTGCTTGCCTCCGAAGCAACGAGGCTCACCTGGCTGTTGTTCATTTCCGCAGGGTTGATCGTGGAAATTGGGTCCCTTTCCTCCTCGCAGTCTCGTAGTTCCGCCGTGACAAACGGACCAGCTTCATCCAAATATCTCGCGGGGCGTGGATGGCTGTTTAATGTCGGGGTTGTTGGCGAGGAATTAGTGGTAGTCCGAAGATCTGGTTGCGACGTGGTAGAGTAAAGTTCTCTAGTAAATGACGGCTGTGCAAACTCGGGAATTATTATGGGTACATATCGTGGCAATCGTGTGGTACTGGAAGACTTCGTAGCCGGGTCTGGCACATAATCATGAACAGGTAATCTCGTCAATCGATATCTGGAAACCTCGCTCGGTGTCTGTGGCGAGGTTGCAGAGATATCAGGGCTCTCGTTTGTCACCGATGGCAAGGACGGACTCTGCCAGAGAGCGAAAACGCTAGACACCACCGATTTGGAGCGGTTGTCTGTGGCTAACGGCGGTAGGGGCGGCCAGTGGTGTTCCTCCGGTGATGGTGGGTCAAGATGGGAGGTGAGGAACCGCGATTCCCTCAGCCGTGGGATAGAACCCTGTTTCCCAGGACTTTTACGTCGGAACCTAGCCATGACTGTCAGCTCTAGTCCCAAGAGGCCAGAGGCGGAGGGCAAGCGAATAACGAGGAACACGGCAATGTGGCAAATGAGCAGACAAGATGAACAAGTAGAAAGAACAACATCGACGATAGGACATGATGGACAAGTTCCCCTTTCTCGGATCTTTGTAGGCCATGGCGATAAAGGGTACAAGCACGCGTTCGTTTGTCCCGGCGGGCAATGCTGAGGCAAAGGCAGGCGGGATCGAAATCGGGCAGCAGAGGTGGCGCAAGGATCTCAACGACGTAGAGGGAGAAAAGATAGACCACTGACTGAGAGGACAAAGAACCTGTCTCGGGATGTCGCTTTTTTTCGTGAAGGGTCGTTTTCTCTTCCGTGTCACTTTAGCTGATGTCAGAAGAAAAGGGGGGAAGTTGGTGGTGAGAATGTCGGAAGATGGAGAACCCGAACGCGATCAGAATTGAAGATGGAAGTGCTCGCAAACAGCAAAACATTCATGCAAGATTGAACCCAAAACGAAGTCGATGTCCAGATCTGTACAACTGGGTCTCTCTGTGGAGGACTCTAGGAGAATTATTAGGACGCTGGGGGTGAAATTTTGTGTAGCGGAAAAGTTGTTTCCATGTCAAGTCTAGATGGACCTACGTGCCTGCGCCTGTGCAGGGAGTCGCAGGAAGTTGGAGCTACTTCTGGCACTGGCACTTGTCACTGGTGCGTTCAGGGCATGGGGGGCCGCAAAGACATGGGCGCTCTAGGCGATTGTAGGCGATTCAGGCGGTGCCGGCGGTACCAGTAGCAGTTAGTTAGGAGGGTGTTGCCGCTATGCCAAGCCGGTTATCAGCAGCCCTAACAGCTTGTGACAGCCAATTGTTCACGGCTGTCAAGTTCAGGGCAGGTTGATTACCTCAGTGACCAGGTTCAGGGGCTAAAAGGGCAATGGAACAAAGTACGGGGTACATACTGCTGCTGTGGTTGATTGACGTGTATTCAGTGGTACCTGCATTGAGAGGAACAGACAAGACGCGTCGCAAACAATTTGAAATAACTTCTGAGCAATTTGTTGGGGTATGCACGTCGCAAAATGACCTTGAATGGGTATGGCACCAAGTCAAATCTGGTTTCTTCCACAGTATCTCTCGAGCTGCTACATTTTCGGTGGTATCAGAATTTACTTTCCCTTGCTTACTTTGCTTCCACCACTCCTCTAAGCAGCACTGGTCTTCTCCTTGGGAAGAGGTGTGGTTCGCAGGTAAGGCTTGATGATTTTCATCTCGGGGAAGATCTCCTTCGCCTGCTCGGTCTTGACGCTGGGATGGACAATCACGTCGTCACCTGGCACCCAGTTGATTGGGGTGGTGACCTTGTGCTTGTCACCGGTCTGCAGGGAGTCGACAATCCGCAGAACTTCGGCAGTATTGCGGCCGGTCGAGGCAGGGTAGGACAGGATGGTGCGGATGACCTTCTTGGGGTCAATGACGAAGACGGATCGGATGGTGAAGGCAATGCCTTTTTCATCCACATTGGTGGCATCCTGATGATCAATCATGTCATAGAGAAGCGCGATCTGTCTGTTCTTGTCTCCAATAATGGGGAAGCTCAAGTTGCTGCCGCTGATCTCATTGATGTCCTTGATCCATTCTCCGTGACTGTCAATGGTGTTGGCCGAAAGCCCAATCAATTTGACGCCTCTTCTGTTGAACTCGGGTTCCAGCTTTGCAAAGGCACCCAACTCGGTCGTGCAGACGGGAGTGAAATCTTCCGGATGCGAGAAGAGAACGACCCAGTTGTCGCCGATGAACTCGTGGAAGTCAATGGGTCCTTTGGTGGTTTGGGCTTGGAAATTGGGGGCAATTGAGCCCAAGCGGAGACTGGAGGGCGCTGGTCGTTAGTTATGCTCTTTCTGAAAGTCCACACAGCTTTGGAGAGGGGAAGGATGCCACGTACGGTTCAGGGCGGTCGGCCATTTTCTCTGACGGTGTGTATGGAGTGTTGCAAATGGATGTGTTCAGCAGGGAGCAGGCGTGAGGACAAAGGCTGCGATTGCGCAAGAATGCGATGGGAGGGGTAGGCGAGGAGTTTTATACTAGTCAACCAGAATGGCAGATTGGGGAAGAAAACTTGAGAACTCTTAGGCTCAAGCGGCGACGACAAATCTTTTTTTCCTGCTCTTCTCGAACAAGCCTCTGACCTCGAGGGACAAATCCCTGGCTCCAGCTAGTGGCATGATTGCTGATTGCTTGCCCCTCGTGCTCCCATGATGCGGGCGGGATCCATAATGGCATCAGCACTTAGCAGCAAGGCAAGCAAGACAACCCAACCAAGGGCGGGAGCATGTCAGAGGTGGTAGAATGGTGTCCACTGCGTCGAAGCCAGACAATCAGCAACAGACCTGATCACGCAATCGGCATGGCGCTTGGCCTGTTTGACACTCGTGGCTCGGCATCCACAGCCTTGCGTGTGCCCCTCCATTCACGTGCGAGGCTGGATCTTGGTGTCCCCATTAACTTTTTGTCTCGACAAAGAGACGCGCAGGTCCGCATCTTCTTCCTAGGGCTCCCTGATTATTTTGTAGCCCGGGCTAACAAGGGAGCGTGCCCCTGGCTAAATGTTGTCAACCTCCTCTTTGAGATCTGTAGAATGTTGGAAACCAAACTAACTCGTCGACGTCATTCCGACGAATTGCCGATTACAACTCAATGTACTAGACCTCTCAATGACAAAAGTCCAGAGTAGGCATATATATCAGCCATACTTCTCTCGAGGGTTGGTCTCCCCTGCTGTCAGAAATATATACAGACTCCTCAGACAATGGAGCCCGTCTCACAGCCAGCACCGAGTGCCGATACCCAATCAGCCGAGCAGCTCCCGCCAGAAGCCGTGGCTCTAGCAGGAAGGTTCTTCGACGCCGCCCGGGCAGGTCAGACGGATCTATTCGAGCAAGCCTTGCCAAGGGGTCTACCTGCGAATCTGACCAACGACAAGGGCGACACATTGGTAAGTGCTTAGAAAGGATGGGGGAGCCAGTTTCAGGGGCCTTCTCAGTTATCGACTGCTCTGGGTTGTCCAGAGCGACTTCCGCCAGAATGACTAACTCCCTCAGCTGATGCTTGCCTCTTACCACGGTCATGCACCGCTGGCCTCGATGCTTGTGCAGCACGGCGCAGACCCCAATCGCCTGAACGATCGAGGGCAATCCATCCTAGCAGGAGCGGTCTTCAAGAACGAGACCGAAGTGATTGACATCCTCTTAGAAGCCGGGGCTGATCCTGAGGTCGGGCAGCCGAGCGCTCTGGAGGCAACAAGAGTATGAATGTCACGGTCTTGTCACGATCGCCATGTCTACGCTAACAATGAGAAAGGTCTTCAGACAAGAAGCATATGAACTAAAGTTCAAAGAGCAGGTGGAGAAACTGAACGCCGCCAAAGACAGAGCCATGGCCGGCAGTTCATGATGTACATTCATTGTCTCTACGACTTTCAATTCGATGCCATGTTATAGCAGAGAGAGGTCATAATTCATGATTTAACACTTCAAAGCAAGATTTTTGTTTGTCCAAAACGCCCCAACACCATGCTAATATGCAGACAAGGATAGTCGTTCGATGACGTTCTATTGGTATGCATGACCAGGCTCGTTGCTGCTTCTTGACTGTTGCAGCGCTTTCTGTGACGGTATTCTGATAGAGCTTGGAGCGGGCGGAGGCTTGGGATAGCAGCTTGCACACCAATCGTATTTTCGCTGTTGGATCAAGTGCATTTGATGGCACCATTCGGCCACTGGGGCGGTTGGCTGCAACGACGTGGCCGAGGAGGTTCGAGATGAAGTGGTCGAAGAAGGTGGGGATGTTTTGGGTCGTTCAGCAGCTTTCTCGAGCGCCCGTTCATAGTCAGAATAGTATCGACTGGATGCTCTGGCGTGAGACATTGTGAACAAAGGGACGATGGGCCGACGGGAGTTTAACAGGAGGCACTCGGTCGACAGCTCTCGAGGGAAGGATGGGTCCTAATATGTTCGCTGGAGAGAAGTAGGTCCGGTATAGCAGGAACAAATGACGTGTAGTCTGAGGTGGGATGCGCTGAATAAGTGATCTTTGGGGAACAATGCATAAATCCGGAGCGCCGATGACCACCAAAATGAGGGTGTTGAGATGCCGAAGGACGTATCAAGGCGGAAAAGGTGGGATGATGACCGATAATCAAGACGGAACGCGTAGGAATGAGTGGATGAACAAGGACAGCACAATTAGACAGGATGTAGGGAAAAGGATCAGCAACTGGGGGAAAGGGACGGAAAGGTCTGAGATATACGTAGGACATGGACGTGGAACGACGTGGTGTTATCTAGTGTCGATTGTGCCATCTTGTTGTCTGTGGATAACAGTCGTCTTGGAGCATGCGTGGCATGCAGGGTGAAACGAACAGCCCCGAAGTAAAGCTGTCCACAGGCAATGGATCCCAACATTCTGAGCACATGTGTTGTGTGAGGACGAGACAAGCGAGAGGAGGGAGCCACTCGGTGGTGGTCGTAGAGGTTTCTCAGCAGAGAAAAGAGGTGAAAGGTAACAGCCGCTGACCATCCACCCACGACAAAAGGGCACCGAAAGACCAGAAATGGGTTCGGGAGCTCGGGTAGAAAAAAGTAAGTGTCGAAAAGGGAAATAGGGGGCAGTTGTTGACGGATAAACAGAGGAGAAAAAAGAAAGAAAAAAAATTATGCATGTTTTGCATGTGGGAGTGAGGAGTGAGAAGTGAGACAGAGCCACGAAGGCCATTGTCACGGTTCCCGCATCCCAATCCGTATCCGGTCCGCAGAAGCGACTGGCAAACTGCGGACTGTAACTGCGGCTGCGGCTGCGGCCACTTTGCCATCAATAATATCCATGACTTGGTTCTAGCCAGACGCCTCCCCTATTTTTGGCCCTGCCTGCAGAGCACCCACACTTGGTATAATGTGTCTAGCCATCCAGCAGTCTTCAATCTCACCATCGTGATCGTCTTCTGAGCTTGGTGGTGTCGTTCACGAGAGCATACTATGGTCCACGTCGTACGCCGGCTGCCGCGGCGGTTAGCCATATCCTCTAACCGGATCTTCGCCGTTGCCACAACCAACCCTGGGCTGAGTGATGTGCCATCCATGATTCCGAGATGATCATCCCGAACACAGATCTCGAATCTGATCCCTTCTCCTCTTTTCTTCGTCACCAAGTCCTCGCCAGAGTTCCGGCGATTGGCTGCACCCCGCAAAAGATGTTCCTCGGGCACATCAAGTCCGCATGCGGGGGAAGCAGAAGGACGTGGCATTCTTGACCAGGTAGACGCATAGGTAGGTTGATGAGGTGTCTATGAAAACCCCGTTTCGCTGTTCTGGCGATCGTAGGCATTGCATCTCCCGTTTCGCTCACTGAATCTACTGTACACGACTCTCTTCTCGAGCCACAATGTCCGCCACAAACGGCGTCAACGGCCATGTCAATGGCTCCTCGAGTGCCCTCTGCTCTGTTGATGAATTGGTGTCTCGCAAATATGACTTTGTTGTGGTTGGAGGAGGTACTGCTGGTCTAGTGGTTGCTGCTCGCCTCACCGAGGATCCAAATATTTCAGTCGCGGTCCTGGAAGCTGGAGAGAATCGAATGGACGATAAGGCCGTGTCCACGCCTTCACTCTATCCCACCATGGTGAGTAGGACGTTACATCTCCACGCGAGGTGCCTGACCCCCTCTATAGATTGGCAGGAAAGAATACGACTGGTGCATGACGAGCACACCACAGCCCAATGCGGGCAACAAGGTCTACTCGATGCCTCGCGGAAAGGTGCTCGGCGGCAGCTCTGCTATCAACTATCTCATGTACGTGAGAGGGTCAAAGAATGATTACGAAGGGTGGAAATCAATGGGCAACCCTGGCTGGGGTTGGGAGGACATGCTTCCTTACTTCAAGAAACACCAAACATTAGACGACTCTGCCCGGCACAGTGATCCACAATTCATGCCTATCGCGGGAGGGGACAAGTATCACGGATCCAGTGGGCCTGTCCATACCAGCTTCAACGACTGGTATATGCCATTGGAGGTGGAATTTGCCGAAGCTGCCTATGCAGTTACCGGGACAAAGAAGACCATTAATGACGCGTGGAGCGGCGACCATCTGGGCTTCTATTCGAGTCTTGGGGCCGTGAACAGATCCGATGATCCTGGAAAGCGATCCTACGCTGCAACCGGATATCTTCGTCCGAATCTGAGACGACCAAACTTGAAAGTCCTGACGGAAGCGCAGGCCACCAAGATTATCTTGGATGGAGACACGGCCAAGGGCGTTGAATTCGTCCACAAGGGTCAGAAATACAGCGTCGACGCAACGCGCGAAGTCATTCTGTCTGCCGGCGTGATTCAAAGTCCTCAATTGCTCGAGCTCTCGGGAATCGGCGATCCCGAAGTTCTCAGGGCGGCTGGTGTCGAGTGCGTCGTTGAGAACAAGGGAGTGGGCGCCAATTTCCAGGACCATGTTCTCGGAGGACTCCTATTCGACCTCAAACCCGGCATTGATTCCATGGATGCTCTGCACGGCGAAGAGTTCATGAAAGCACAGCAGGACGTCTATCAGAACAGTCAGAAAGGACTGTATGCTAGCCCAGGCATGATGATGGGATTCGTGTCGTACGCGTCCCTGGTAACTCCTGACGAGCTCGACGCAACGATTAAAGAAATCAAAGAGAAGTCGCTTGCAAAGACGGACTTTGAGAAAGCTCAAGAAAAGGTAAGTGACTAACCGTCGTCGACAATAGACCAGGTCCATAGTACTTCTTCCATTGACTGAACTGACACAACTCCATGCTGATGCTAGGTAATTGTCGACCAACTCCGCGACCCAACCTTTGCCAATCTCCAAACCTTCTGCATCCCATGCCGTCTTGATGTGGCCAAGGGCTCCGATCAGACGCAGTTCTTTGGAAAACCACCCAATGGCAAACAGCAGCTCTCGTTGCTTATGTGCCTAGAACACCCTCTGTCAAGAGGCACAGTACACATCAAATCGTCGGACCCGTTGGCGCCACCCGAGATCGATCCGGGGTACTTCCGGAATGAGGTCGATGCCAAAATCCTCGCGGCCGGTATGAAGTGGATGGACAAAGTCGCCAGGCATCCCTTGCTGGCGAAATCACTCGCTGAGAGAGAACTGCCGCCCGAGAAGGAGAGTCTCGACAGCGAGGAGAAGAGGATCGAGTATGTCAAGAACCACATCAGCACACAGTACCACTTGATCGGGACGTGCGCGCTCGGCGAGGTTGTGGACACAGACTTGAAGGTCAAAGGGGTCAAGAACCTCAGGGTGGTGGATGCCTCGATCTTCCCTGGCCATGTATCTGGGTAAGTCTTGAATTCTGTCTTTTGGCTGACAGAGAGTGTCCATGGATCAAAGCTGATTTTTGACGACACAGGAATATCATGGCCACCACTTATGCCGTGGCTGAGAAGGGCGCGGATCTGATCAAGAAGGATATTTAGCTGCATATGACTTTAGCAAAAATGGGACACTATTGAGAAAGGGAGTTGAGAAAATAATGGGTTTCCTTTTTTCCCCCTCCCCGGTTTGACTTGAGTTGTTTTGTATGTTTTTGTATGTCTGTCTAGGTATACATGTAGAGGTATGCTGAACTGGCCGGGTAAAAGTCCAGCAATGGCCCAATGCCAATATCGCTCAGAAGAGTGTAATGTAGAGTAGAGTGGTAAGTACATAAGTACATAGGTAGTTTCAAGCGCAAAAACTTGCTCCTCGTCGTCTCCTTATGATTAATCGCTCGTTCGCTTTGCTCACCCTTGGTCATCTTCTGCTTGCTGAGAGCTTCCGATTCTTGAGCGCCCCCTGAAAGAAACAAAAAAAAAGATAATATCGACGCCTACAAGATTCGAACTTGTGCCTCCGAAGAGAACACCTCAACAACTTAAGAGTAGCAGGGTGTCTATATGTGAATTAGCAAGACTGCAGGTAAACGTATGAATGTAGTCGCACTTACCGCCTTAACCGCTCGGCCAAAGCGTCGCCAATTATTGGGATGAATTGGAAACATGTGTGTTATGTTCAATATATATATTGAGTAAACCAGAAATACCGAGGTTCTGCCGTCTTGGCCACCCAGCCACCGTTGCCGGCTAATAGGCCGAATGCATCAAGAGAACCTTGTGTTCTAGCCTGACAGTCTCGTCTCCCGACTGCCCTGTGTACCACACCTGATTCACCTGCCCTGCCTCACCCTCTAAGAAGCTGTTCGTGACACTAGAGCCGTTTTCGAGATGTCTAAAAGGTATGGAAGTATTCGAGGGCTCATTACGAACAGTAACCACAATACCACTTCATTGTTCTAGTCGGAGGATCATGGGAGTCGGTCAATCTCTCCGTCTGCACTTTTGATTGGGGAGCGTCATGTGTCAGTCACCAGGCCCAAAGTTGTTTATCCTGCTTCGCTTCTTGCGTTCGTTTGGGCAGCACTGAATCGGCAAACCAATCGCGTCCGACAAAGTCAGCGCTTCCACTATATCCACGAGATACACGGTCTCACTATTCTCTTTCCGACGGTCTCAACCTCTTGGGTCTTCAAATGTGGGCGATCCGAGACGGACATAATGGAATAGATGATACTGCTGGCGGCCAAATCTACCTATTGATCAAGGAAAAAGAGGAGGCATGCGTCCCGTGGGATTTGGGCGTCGTTTCGAGAGGGATAGATTGGCCCCATGATGATCAACCGGGTATGTACTGGGGAGGCGGATTTGGGGGAGAGGGCAAATCAGTCGAACTCATTGCTTTGGTTCGAAAGCAAAACGCAGCCGCCTATTACCTGGACTCTTCTGATAACATTGTACCTAACCCAACTAAATGAAGCATGCAAGATAATCCAATCCTTAACAGTCCTACAACATCTCAACAACGCGCGTAAATCCAGCTACAGTCCCTCCCCAAAGAATGTTTCCGAACCTATGATGGTGTACAACGCAACCAAACCACAATCTTGTGCCGCAGCCAATGCGAAAACATATCTCGTTGAGCTCGAACTTCCTCTGCACATCATCAAACGCCTCACAGTACCTTATTACCGTGGATACAGCACTCCCCGCTCGAGGTGAGTGGTTTGAAGGGATGCAAGGGACACTATTTTTGTACTTAAGGTAGGCGAGTCGATTCGCGGGGGAGAAGGGCTAGGGGATGGGAACTTGATGATTGAAGTTTTAAAAAGAGGGAAGAAACCAATATATATATAAATATACCCATCTCGGTCCTAGAAGCCGGCAAAGGAGATTCTGTATACAACTTTGATGAAGATCTATTTCGGCCCCACAAGGAAATTTAGGCAGCAGCGTGAGGGCAGATAATCTGCGAACTTCCTGACACCCTGTCTGAAATAGATGTTGAGCCGAGGGGCAGGTTTTAATATGGCTTAGGGGTCAGATTAGTCCCTCGGCGTATTTGCTCAGTGATGCTCAGCTACAGGCTCAGTCAAGGCTCAGGTTAAAGCGGCCTTCGCTCACCCTCTAGGATCAAAATGTGTATGGTAATTGGGTTTTTCGTTCTCGACTAATCTAGATACACAAGTAAGTAAGTAGGTAAGTAGGTAAGTAGGGAAGTAGTAGGTAATAACACATGTATGCCCCGTGGCTCTCGAAAAATACCTAGTACCCGGTACACGGTACCTGGTACCTTGTGTAGGTATCATGATGATGACATTATACATCGCCCAAATCTTTTGCCCCCCCCCAACTCCTACTTTTTTGATGGTAACAGCAAACATGTCTGGCCAAACCCCTGGATAATATCGATGCAGATGCTGGGATTTCCATATACCGACCAGGACTTGGTATTCGTGTCGAGATGAGGCGGGTGATGCGTGACTTGTGCACACACGGCTAGGTATCCATCAAGATAATCCGCACGGTGACCTGTGTACTGCGACATTTTGGCTTTGGCAGGGTCGACGGACAATTGTCACTTGTTGCACTCCCAGTGGTAGGCAGGATGCTCTGGGCTTGGGAACTCTAAACGCCGTGCTCTGGACGCTACGCGGTGATGGTCTTCTCTCGCTAGGGATATTCGTTTGCACGGGCCGGCAAATGCTGAACTCGGCCTGAATCCACACGATCCACGTGGAGAGAAAGGTCAAGGTCAAGGGTCTGCGAACCTGCTTCGAGCGGTAATGCTGGCCGCAACGCCTGAACGAACCTCGTGCGCTGTTGGTCGTTGTTCATTTCTTGTTCCTCTCCGCCTGGGCCTTGAGGAACTCGGACTGGAGCTCCTTCTGCAGCTGCATCGGCGCACGCTCGTAGTGGCTGAACTCCATGCTGAACTCGCCCTTGCCCTGCGTCGCCGCGCGGAGGTTGCCGCTGAAGCCAAACATGCCGTTGAGACTGGTGTCGGCCCAGACGGTGAATTCGTCCACGCCGACCTCGGTGTCGTTGATCACCGCATTCCGCTTCTGCAACAGCCCGACCACGTTGCCCTGAAACTCGGTCGGGGCCGTCACGACCGTCTTCATCATGGGCTCCAGCACCACTGGGTCGGCGTCCATGAACGCCTTGCGGAAGGCCTGCTGCGTTGCGTTTTTAAAGGCCATTTCGCTCGAATCGGTCATGTGGGTCGCACCGTCGTTGATCACCATGGTCGCGCCGAGCACTTTGTGGCCGACCAGAGGACCCTTTTCGCAAGACAGGTGGAAACCCTTTTCACAAGCGAACAAGAATTTCTCCGAGATGGCGCCACCAATAATATGTTCTTCAAAGTGGTTGCCTTCGAGGTTACCCTTGGGCTCCATATAACCTGCAACACGTGCGTAATCACCTGCTCCGCCAGTCTGTTTCTTGAGCAAATGGTTGAACTCGACGCGTTTGGTGATGGTCTCTCGGTAAGCAACGCGCGGGGGGCCGGTCTCGCACTCGACCTTGTATTCTCGGCGCATCCGCTCGACGTAGACCTCTAAGTGAAGTTCGCCCATGCCCGAGATGATCGTCTGCTCGCTTTCGGTGTCAAAGTGAACTCTAAAGGTCGGATCCTCGCGCTGGAACCGCGCAATGGCTTTGGAGAAGTTGGGCAAGTCTTTGTTGTTCTTTGGCTTGATGCTGAGGGAGATGACGGGTTCGGGCACGAACATGCTGGTCATGGTGTACCCCAATTGTCCGTCCGTGAACGTGTCACCCGATGCACATTCGATTCCAAACACAGCACAGATCTCTCCGGCGCCGATCTCGTTGACTTCTTCCATCTCGTTGGAGTGCATGCGGACGATACGGGGAATCTTGACCCGCTTGTCGGTCCGAGCATTGAACACGTTGAGGCCTTTTCGCAATTTGCCCTGATACACGCGGATATACGTGAGTTGCCCAAAGTTCGATTCTTCCAACTTGAATGCCAGACCGACAAAAGGCAACGAGTTATAAGGGACAAGCTTGACGGGAGCCTCCTTCTGTCTTCGGTCGAGAGCGGTGTTGGACACCTCGGAGGGGTTGGGAAGATAATCGCAGACACCGTCGAGCATCGGTTGGATAAATTTGTCGGCGAGGGCAGATCCCATAAAGACGGGAGTGAATTTGAGCGAAATGGTGGCCCTCCGGATGGCGGCCTTTAGCTGCTCGGTCGTAGGCTCCTGTTCATCCAGAAACAAGTTGGCAATCTCGTCATCGACGTCGGCAAGTGTTTCGATCAGCTGTGCCCTCTTCTCTTTTGCGAGCTGTTGGACCTCGGCCGGGATTTCATCCTTGGTGACAATGATCTCGCCACGTTCACCCTCAGCATAGTTTGTCTTCATGGTGATCAAGTCAACGACGCCGCGGAACTCGTCTTCGGCACCAATTGGCACCTGAACAGCCGCAGCGGCGATTTTGAGCTTCTTGTTGATCTGGTCAACGGCTTTCCACGGGTTTGCGCCCATTCTGTCCATTTTGTTGATGAAGCTGATTCGGGGCACGTTGTACCTCCGCATCTGCCGATCCACGGTGATGGTCTGACTTTGGACGCCGGACACCGCACACAGGATCATGACGGCACCATCCAGCACCCGCAGTGCACGCTCCACCTCGATGGTAAAGTCAATGTGTCCGGGTGTGTCAATCAAGTTGATGTGGTATTTTTCTTCCTTGCCGTTCTCCTTTTTGACCCAGTCACAGAAAGTGGCTGCGGATTGAATGGTGATGCCCTTTTCTCTCTCGAGTTCCATCGAGTCCATTTTCGCGCCAACGGCGTCTTTGCCGCGAACTTCGTGGATGGACTTGATCCGGCCCGTGTAGAATAGGACACGTTCCGTCGCCGTCGTTTTGCCAGAGTCAATATGTGCCTGTCGATGTCAACCAACTTGTACCTAAGCAAACCGAGACCCGTGACTGACCGCAATACCAATGTTCCGCACTCTTGATAACCGGTGCGCTTCCTCGGGCGATAGGTTGTGAATAATGGTTTCTTGAGAGAGGGCGTCGGGGTCATCCTGGGCTTCTTCCAGCCTGTCACGTATTAGACGAGGGACAGGAAAAAGCAGTGAGAAGTGCTTACATTGCAGCTGCGGCGCCGGCGGCACCTCGCCGTTGCTGCCACCGTCGATCCAGCGGCCATTGTTTCGACTGCGACCGCAGGCTCGCGGACAAGGTCGGGAGAACTGCAGTGGAAGCGCAGCGTCGGCCAAGCCAGTGTCGCGCGAGACTTGAGTTGTGCGAGCGTGTCAAATTGCCGAGAAGCCTCGAGGACCCTCCGATAGCACGCGAGGCACTCATCTTGACAGTTAGTTGATGGTGAGGCCACGAATGCTGGAACGCAGATCCTCGAACATTCAATGCTCGGATCGGTTGACGGGGAACTTTTTTTCTTGAAGCTCAACCCTGCGTCGCCAAGACAGACCCCGGTCGTCCACATCAGCCAATCATGTTGGCCTTTATTGAGCGAGTATCACAAGGTTGAGAACCATGTTCGTTTCAACGCCCACGAGATAGGAAGAACATAACAATTGCTGTTGCGGTAAGGTTACGCTAGATTTCCTCTCATAACATGTTCCAACTGTTCATTCTTCAACCTGGCCTTCTGGGAAATACACAACATCACCAAACTGTCCGGGGTAGGAAAAATGGATTTGCGAAGAATCATGTCCAAAGTCTTGGGGGCCACCAACCGCTGCACGAAACAAATCACCTGCAAGCAACGGTTCAAACAATGCATCGATGCTCTGTGGATCAAGGCGACTTTCTTGAACCTGTAAAGTGCGCGGAGCGTATCCAATATCGACGTGCGAACCTGGAAGATTTCGGGGCAAGGTATGTAGAGCCGCGTCCACGCCAGCAGCAATATCGCTCGGAGATGCTTGATGTACGTTTCTCTCGATTGTCTCTAGAGAGGTACTGGCCAGCAGAGATGGTGCTTCGACGACATTCATCGATGGATCTAGATTTTGGGCACTGCTGCGGGTCCGTAATACTTCGGAGATGGGAGCTGGACGGCATAAGCGAGGCATGCATCTGTTAGCGATGTGTTGGAGATATCTCTGACCTGCCTCCTGTTGAACTTCTTGAAGTAGCCGCTCTTGGCCGCCAGGGGTCAAATGTGTCAGAAGACCTGTTCGCTCCTGGACAGCTGGTATCAGTTGTCCTAAAGCTCTCTCTGAGAACAGAAGAAATTGGCGGAGATGCTCTGCCGCAGGTCCTTCGTAATCTGTTGAGATAATAAGCGACGGTCATAAAGCTGCTTTCATTGTCACTTACAGGGACTGACCGGACGTTCCTTAGCAGCACCGGGGAAGAAAGTGTCATAAATCTTGTGCCAGTATGCAATCCTGTCCGTGCGCGGGGAGTTTTTGCGATCGAGCCCGAGCTCCTCGGCCAAGTCCTTACTGATCTTCTCCACAAAGAGCGGTGGTTCAAGGACGGGGCACATCGGGGTTTCGCGCAAATGGGCTGCGACCATGGCCTGCGAAGAGAAATCGCGCCTACAGCATCGACAGCAGTAATATCGAGGGGCATAATGATTTCGTTGAAGGTGTTGCCTAGCAGAAGTTAGCTGAGTTCACGGATGCGACTTTAGAGACCTTACTTTAGACGTGCGATATTCATGAAGCTGGAAGTAGCACAGCAATGATATGCTTCGTCTGCCGATTCTGGCCCAAACAACACGTTGTCATACTTGTTGAAGGGGCACGCAAGTGGTCGGATATCATGCTCGTCTGCACATGTGGCATCTACTCGCTTGCGTTTTGCGCCTCTCTCACCGTCCTCGTCGTCCAATTCATCTTCGGAAGTATCTTGCCTTTTCTTTCCACTCACTCGACTATTCCGAGATGATGACTTGTGTCCAAGGACATCTTTCGTGTGATTCGGCCCGTCCCTGGGCTGCTGACCAGACTCGGAAGGTGCTGTCACCAACTTCAGGAATGTCCAAAGCAAGGTATAGCACGACAGAGAAACGACCAGGTTCACGTCTCGCTCTCGGCCATCCTCGGTCCAGCCAGAGCTTGATGTTTCTGAGGTAGAAGAGTTGAGCGTCCTGCTGAGGCTTGGGGAGGCGGGACCCGCGACCTGTAACTCAGACTGTGACTGAGGCGATGGGTGCCTCGCACGACCGATGACTGGGAAGTGCAAGGCTCTCGGTGCCATCGTAGTGATGTTGATATGTCGCGAGTCGGTCGTGGTAGCCACAAAAGCATTGCTGAACTCAGGTGTGAAAGAATCCGATTCTTCCGCAAGTCCGACTGAGATCACTTGAACAGGGGTTTGTCTCTCCTGAACCTGGGAGGCATTGCCGGGATTATCGGTTGATTTATCTTCAGGCGGGGCTTGATCATGGGCTCCAGATCGTGTGTTGTTGACTTTATGGTCGGCCAAATAGACGGAGGGTCTAGCGAGACTTCCCGCCGCATCGGCAGCGGCCTTTCTGCAATTCTCAAGTGCCCCTCCTTCCTTTCGATGGCGTGAATAGGCTTCGGCTCCCGCAAATAACTGCTTACATCCACGGCAACGAACATATTCATGCTTCTCCAAAAGATGGATTCTGAGCGAAAAAATGTGCTTGAAATGCCTACCGCAGTGTTCACAAAGATAGTAGTTGCTGGGTTGAGGCTCTTCATTTTCCGGTAAGTCAACCAGAGGCCAACTTATGTCTTGGTCATCGCTTTCTTGCCCTGGCCCTGTTGATACTGGTCGCAGAAATCCCCCTACCACCTTGTCATGCTCAGATCTTCTTCTGGGGAAGCGGTCAAGGGCAAGTATAGTTCGAGTGTCAGCCATGGCATTTGTCCTGGGCGGAAGTTCCTAGTCTGCAGGGGGGTTGCAGCGCAAGCGTGAAAGTGTTAATCCCGTATACTACTCCTTGGACACGCTGGACCGCTGAGGTTCTTACCAAAAAAAAAGCGTCTGGATGTTGACGTCGATACAAGAATCAGGGCGCCATCTTGGAGAGGAATATGTCACTCAGGATGTCTCCGCAAGTGTCGTCTGGGAGAACTCAGATCGACATACGCGGGAGCAAGAAGAGTGAGGTGAGGTGAGGTGAGGTGTCGACGTTGAGTCCCGCACTAGCGCCAGGGGAGGGTGTGCCGCTCATAAAAAAGGTGGTGGAGGGTGTGTGTTGTGCTCGAGTTCACAGCTGTGAATTGATTGATACATGTAATTACTCGGCGTCGGTACAAACAGACACGTCGAGGCCCAACCACGGAGAAACTTTGATCCGAGACTGCAGACTCTGCTTGTTCGTCTGGCAGAGACTCGGTTCAATCTGGAATGGCTTGCCACGACCAACTCCTCTCCTCTTCCGTGTCCATGCACATGTTCCGCGTCTCTCGCTCAGGTGTGTGAACATTGCCTCTCCCAACGGCAACCAATCCACTAACATACGCATGGTGTTGGTTCATTGGCCAATACTGCAGGCAGCCTGACAGCTTAATGCCTCGATATGGCCGACTCCTCGGCGAACTCGGCTCTATCGCTGATAGTCGCCATTACAATAGGCGATACAAATGGCTATATAAATGAACTGACTGTCGTCTTCGAGAATGAAGAGGGAAATTATAGTCTAACAAAGATTTGTTTTCGACTTAATCCACAAACCAGGATCTCTTCATCATGTCGCTCTACCAACGCGCTCAGAACATCGACGCTGTTGCACAATCCTCCCTCCTCCCACAAGCTAATACGGCTCTCTCCCAAGCTCTTTCTTATGCTCTTGAGAACTCCGCCGCTCACAGTCTTCCACCTATAACCATCTCCCCTTTACAAGGCCAATACCTGGCGATCCAAGCACAGCTGATCAACGCGAAGAACATCCTAGAAGTCGGCACGCTGGGAGGTTATTCGACACTCTGGTTCTTGAGTGCCGGCGCCCACGTCACTTCTCTCGAGATAAACCCTCATCACCGTGATGTGGCGATCCAAAACCTCAGGCATGCGGGCTACGAAGAGGAGAAGGATTTTGAAATCATCCTCGGACCCGCGTTGGACAGCCTCCCCAAACTTCTTGTACAACAACAGAACGGCAAAAGGGCCAAGTTCGACTTGATCTTCATTGACGCCGACTGGGCCGAGCAATACGATTATTTCCAACACGCCGTGCGGCTTGCGCGCCCAAATGCCTGCATTTACATCGACAACGTCGTTCGTGAGATACTCGAGGGAACCGATAGTAAAGATCTGGAAGCTGGGCGGAAGGAGAGTCTGCCGGTCAAGGTAGGGAAAGACGACAGAGTAAAGGCCACACTAGTGAGTGTGGTCAGTAGCCACAAGGGACGCGAAAGCGAGACGTTTGATGGGTTTCTCTTGGCCGTTGTCAAGGGTTAGGGAATCAGAAGCACTGGGATTGTTAGAGGTGCCTTTCTGCTGAAGACGAGAATTGAGCGAGTTGGTGACGCACCTGACCAAGTCGACATGCTTCAAAGATCAACGGCATTGTCCAATTCAAACTCTGACCCGTTTATCTTTACCTCTTTGGCTCCAAATTGCTCGGAAGTATTCTCACTCTACCACGTGGTCATACCTCCTTCACGAAGCCCACCTCGACAACCTTCTCCACCGGCACGTTCAAGGCCTGGACTTTTGTTCGCGTATTCTCACGAAGCCACAAAAATATTTCCAATATGCCTCTGCGCATGATATACATTGGAGAAAGTTTCCCCTCCTTCTTCACGCGCATTTGTTCTTTGCCCACGATGTAGATCACCTGGCTTTCGTACGCTCGTTGCAGTTCGGAGAGTCTATGGGTGAGCTCGAGATTTTCCAAGGAAGGGCGTCCGGACCCTGGTGTGGATGAAGCAATTTCGGCATAAGAGATGGCAGGATCTCTTTCTTTTGCACCTTCAATGATCAAATCTGCGTCTCCTGCTGAGATGATGTCCACATATTCGCGGATGAGATAATTTCGGATCTGCTCGTATAGCATGCCTCCCAAATCATTTGACACGATTTCGTCGTTGTATCCATGCCGAATGATGACGCGATATGTATCAGGCATGATTCGCTTGCTGTCTCCATCTTCGTCCCCGATATAGCACCGCGACACCGTGTATCTCTCGTCGGGCGGCACAGTGGGAATCTGCAAGGGTCGCAAGTGGAACAAGACAATGACATCGTTCGCAGCATGGAATTTCTGCAAAAAGTGGATGAACACTGTCGGTGTACTGGAGGGTAGACCTGACTTGTCAAAGAAAATCCCCATGCCTTCAATACGCCTGACCTCTTGACCGCCAAACGCCGGCGAAAGCTTCAGCCTTCGAGTATAGATATTGCTGCTATCCGTGACAGGAGCCGCGATGACCTGGATTAGATGACTGGGTGGGAAGCGATCTGATGCTTCAGCGCGCCATTGCTGTTCCTTGCCGTAGCGCCAGAGGAGGAAGGTGGAAGAAAGAGCAACTGCCAGGACCAGCGTGAACCATGCGCCTTCGGGTACCTTTGTCACGGCCGAGGAGAGGAAGGTGCCATCAAAGAGAGCGAAGATGAGCCAAACGGGCAGCACAATAATAGCTGGCACACGCCAGACAATCAAGGCTACTACGGCGACCATGCAGGTTGTCAACATGGTCACCAAGATCTGCGGAGCGAAGATGATCAGTTCAATCGCTCTTGGAAGATGATGAATGACAATCCAGAGTCGATCACGTACCACGCATACACCATAGGCATGGCCCAATTTCGTGGTATTGGTATAGACTCCGGTCACGACGACGGCACCAATCATCAGAAGCCAGTTCGCAATGGGAATGTAGACTTGGCCGTAGAAGATCTTCGATGTATGCACGACCTTTATTTGCGGAAAGTAGCTTAGTTTCATGATTTGGGTTAGTAGCTGAAAGACTGCTGTGATGATTGCTTGACTCGCAACGACAGCTGCCAAAATCGCGACGATCAGCGACGGCCAGAAACATCCCGGTGGAACTGTATTGTAGAACGGATTCGACCATGCAGACGGGTCGTCAGAAATATATGCTGCTTGGCCAATGTAACCGAGCAATAGGCAAGGGAAGGCGAACGTAAGCCAGGAGAGCTGGATGGCGCGTTGAGTAAATGCCCCCAAGTCGGCGAAGAGGGCTTCACAGCCAGTAAATGCTAGAAGAATACCTCCCAGGCTTTTCCAACCATCCGCCTTATTCCGGACCAAGTAGGCTCCAGCGAAGTAAGGTGAAAATGCTTTGAGCACCGACGAGTCATGTCGAGCTAGATTGTATATGCCGAATGTAGCGTTGAGGAGGAGCCAGACAATAACAATCGGGGCAAACGTGTTGGCCAATTTCGTCACACCAAATGGTTGAACCAAGAAAAGGACGATAAGAATAGCGCATGACGATCCGATGACTATACTCTGTGATATAGTAGGGTGGACCACCTCTATACCTTGAATAGCACCGAGCACCGATTGTGCAGGTGTAAGGACGCCGTCAGACATGACGAGAGCGACGCCAAACACCCCAAAGACTTTTAGTAGCCATTGTGTCGTCTGTGACCGTTCCATAAGACCTCGAGCCTTTTGCGCTGGTCTTCCTAGATCACTAGCAGTATAGCGTTCTATTTTGACCAACTGCTCTTCGCGAGGATCACGTCTGACAATATTTGCGTACCTCGACAGGAGGGAGAAGAGGGCGAATGTTCCTCCCTCGCCTTCGTCGTCCGCAGAAAGGACAATCAGGCAGTATTTGATGCTCACCATGATAGTGAGTGACCAGATGATCAAAGACAAAGCTCCAAGAAGGTCATCATAAGAAGGGTCGTGCGTAAAAGTCGACGAGTAGACATAGAGAGGACTTGTGCCGATATCGCCGTAGATGACCCCGGTGGACTGGTATGCCAGCCAGAGCAGCTTGATGCCTGTGAAGGTCTGTCTCTGATCAGTGTCGTTGTGCAGCTGCGGAGACAGGCAGCCTGCCATTTACCTGTTTCCTCTTGAGGTCCCGGTCCTGGATTTTGAAGGACTCTGTATCTTCCTCACTTCTCGCATGTCTTTTCGAATTCTGAGCACGAATGCTTCCAACCCCCGCCACTTCTCTGCTTCTTAAAGTATAGAAGTGTGATGCCACAGGTTGGATAGCATCACCGGATTGAGTGCTAGGGCGGGCCATTCGGTCAAGGCTTTGTCAAGTCGCACAGCCTCAGTGGGAGATCTCGAGACTTGTCAATCTCGCCGAGACCTCAGTCACATCAACAGACTCGCAAAGGACGCTGGAAGAAGGACAAGAGCCGAGGGTAGAAAACGCCCAGCTTGTGGGATGCCGGCATGAAATACATCTTGTGGGCGGGAGCAACATAGGCGCGTGATAAGCCCGTTTCTGCTGGAGCGTCGAGACGTGCGTGGACAGCGCACGACTCTTGGGAGGCAGAAGTGACCGGGAGACATGTGGGATGGTATGCTGCATGGATCTGCATCGCCACAATGCCATGAGCCCGCATACCCCACCGCCCAGACGAAACCAAGCGCATTATTGCAGAGGCAGACAGAGGGTGAGAGAGTCTGAGTCTGCGCCTGATCTGGTAACGGGAGGGAATACAAATGACAAAGGAAATTTGTCAGAAGCTTTAGAGCGCAGGGAAGGAACTCCTGGAAATACATAGGAAGGAGCGGTCCTCTGCCTACAAGCACTGCTCGCTCGGTATAGCATCTCAGGTGCTTTTCTTCCACGAATCAATGGAGAGACGATGGATGAGATAACGAGCAGTTGCGACTAGCTGCATTCCATCTTCGAGGCATGAACAACGACAACCGAGCGAGAAGCGTACATGGGATGCATGGTGCACCCAAAAATGCCTCATGCAAGAAAAAAGACGATGCGATGAGGTTCGAGGTACGCAGTTTACGAGGCGGGGAGGCCATGAGGTGGAGGCAACAAGGTAGAGAAGCCGCACGCTTGAGGCCCTCTAGTGTCGGCACATGGCGCATGGACCAGTAGAAGACGGTCTCTACCCGTTCAGCTGCTGTTCCGTCCATCCGGCATGTGAAGTTGTGGCATGGGGTTTCCTGTCGGTCCTGTTGGACCAGTTCAAGTTGTCACTTCCACAAACAAACCCATCAGTAGCCAGGGTGCGTGGACATAGGGCTCGTAGAAGGAGCATGTCTTGCGCTCTTCGGGTACTTCTCCCGGGGACTTGTCGAGATTGATATGATATATGGCATATTCGAACCAGGCCTCTCCAGTATTCCCTTTGTAACCACTCGGGCCACCAAAGAGGACGATTGAAACGCAAAAACAAATAGCCGCAGCCGTGGGTTCCCTCTATTACTCTATTCTCTTCTTGCCCTCTTCCATATATCCCATATTTGCCGCGCTCGCGTTCCTCAGTCTTCTATCCTTGCCGCCTGCCGAGGCGATGATCGGTCCAACGATCTTGTCCTTGTGGGCTCGTGATAAAGCCTCTGAATACCCTTCACTCGCGAATGATGGTGTGTTGAGCTTCGGCCAATTCACATACAGCAGTCCATGTGCATAGATGAACTGGAACGCCCACCCTGCCACAACCAGACACAAAATAACAAAGATACGCAGCGGCCATATTGCTGCATCTGGAGGTCGGCGAGTAAGAAGCGACACGAAAACGATAAACAATGACGCTGCCAGCACATAGGGCACAGCTTGAATGATGAGTGGTCTTCGGTCGGCAAACATCAAAGAAGATCCGACACCATAGGTGGACGGCAGATAGTTTCCCAAGAAGAGGTCGAAGCTGTCCTGTCGAGGGCCATCAAGAAAGTTGTTGCGGATATAGCGCGTGGCCGAGTTGTTGAAATCCTGCACCGCCCCAGCTCTCGTGCGTTTTCCGGTACGAGTAAAGTCCGTCTTCAGTGCACCAGTTCCCGAATATGAATTCGACACCACGTCGGCGTTGTCAGCCCATACATTGCGGAATAGGAACTCGAAGGCTCTGTCGTCTTGTGCTCTCTCGCCGGGTTGCAGGATGCCGGCATCTTGGAACTGCTGAGTCAAGGCCCATCTGCCCAACATGCTCTGAACCACATTTGTCCGATCTAGGCAGTCCATACAATTGGTGCGCACCACTGCGGTCTGCCGACATCGAACTTCGAGTGCTCCAGATGGATCTCCGGGCATTTCGACGCCCCGGAAATACTGTCCTTTCCTCAAACCATCCAGTAACTCGTCCAGCAAGAGTTCAGCACGGTGCCATTTGTACCCTTTGGTCTCGCTGTGGAAATCAAAGTAGATATAGTGCAGTTTGTCCATCCTCTGACGGCTGCTCTGCGGCTCAATATCTCGGAACTTTTCATCCGTTCGCGGATCGGCTTCGACGGACTCATCTGGGGAGCTGACGAGGATGCGGACCATCTGTTCATAAGCCTTCTTCACCCGTTCCTCCCTGCCGCGCTGATTGACCAGGTTGACCAGGTAGTTCTCGCCATATATTCTGATCTGCTCGTCAAAGTGCTTCCGCGCAGCATCGACTGCAGACTCGACCCCTCGAATTTGCAGCTTCGGTGTGTAGCGGAGATCATTGATTTCAGCCCAGAAGACAGGGACACTGCCTATTCATGACCATGTTAATATTGGAAACGACTAAAAAGAATGGCTTTGCTTACCGCGCGTCTGGACGTATGACATGACTTGGGTTTCCGCGGTCTGTCCTCCGGCAATTCCGTTTTGCATACGTTGTCCGCCGGAGTAGCCCACGGGGCCCGAGGCATCGTTGAGCAAAGCAATTTGCTCCGTCTCGTTGAAGTTTGCCACATGCCCGTCCTCATCAACGCCCCGAGAGAAGTATCTTGTCCCACCGCGAAATCTAGATCTTCTAGTGATAAGGGCGAAAGTGAATGGAGTGTTCTTGACCTTGGCCGGTGTGATACGCAACATGCCATGCATGACCGGGAGAATATATGGATCGGCCCCAGGTTGTTGTTGTCCTCGCAAACCTCCCAGTCTGAAGTCGATGAGGTCTGTCTGAACGAATCTGTTCCAAAAGAAGCGATCATCTGCTCTCTTCCACATCGGCTGCGAGAGATCCGACTCAGACTGGCGCTGGAAGCTGGACGTGATATCAATCGAGTAGGAAAAGTACATGGGACTCGAGCTAAGCAACGCCTTAAGGTAGGAGAGGTAGGTATCTTCGTCGGGGTCTCGGACGGGTCGTTCCCGCAAAGGGAGAAATTCTGTAGCGACCACCTTATAGACCATATGGCCACGCAGTCTGCCCATGGGTTGTGCTTTGGTGATGATAATGATATATTTGTCCAGCTTCAGTTTGATGATGCCCAAAATTCCAGCGACACTCGTCACTCGTTTTGCCCCCAGGAGAGATCCATCGTTCAGTCGAATGTCCCCCGACGGCCTCTCCACCACCAGGGTGGGCGCAGAGGAGTTGGAAGGGGAGGTGAATGCATAGTGGCTGGTGGAAGCGTGGACATTGATGTCTCGAAAGGGCAGCAAGTTAGCCATTGCGAAAAGGCTCGAGGGAGGTCGCGAAAAGGCCTTGTGGGATCCTTGTTATCGTATCATGATTCGAGTGTAGGATAAGAGTTGAGAGATCGAGAAATCGTGAAAGAGGGAGAGGCTGCGTAACCGTTGCCCGCGCTGTTTGTGGCGGTGATTTGGCTGCCTTCCGTCATCTTCTTGGCCCAGAATCTCTCAGGATCTCCCCAACTGTCCCGAACTTTCGAACTGCAAGGTAACAACACCACCGGCCAGACAATCATCAAACGTACCAAATTCTTCTTCAATCCTTACCCTAGTCCGAGGCCGACCTTTTGAGGCCTGTTGTACACGCGACCGCTAGGCAAATATCAACCACAGCCCGATCATGGCCGCTCGAGCTCCCGCAGGCCGACCAGGCGCAGGCGGCAGATTCGCCCAATTCAAGCTCGTCCTTCTCGGTATGTTGAGGACAACCCTGCACTCGCGAGCGACTAATTAATGCCATACAGGTGAATCGGCAGTAGGAAAGGTACTTTGCCAACCAACTCCGGCGTTTCCCTTGCGAACCATTTCCATCCTAACAGATCCTCCTTTCCGCAGAGCTCGTTAGTCCTCCGGTTCGTCAAAGACCAGTTCGACGACTACCGCGAATCCACCATCGGTGCCGCATTCCTCACGCAGACGATATCTTTAGACGAGAACACAACGGTCAAATTCGAGATATGGGATACCGCCGGCCAAGAGCGATACAAATCCCTGGCGCCGATGTACTACAGGAATGCAAACTGCGCCGTGGTCGTTTACGATATTACCCAGGCTGTACATGCTCCCTGCTGTCCTCGAAACGATTGAACGCCTACTAATCGTGCTTGACAGTCATCTCTAGATAAGGCCAAGTCATGGGTCAAGGAACTCCAGAGACAGGCCAACGAAAACATCATCATCGCCCTTGCTGGGAACAAACTCGACATCGTTGACGAGTACCCCGATAAGCGGGCCATCCAGACCGCCGACGCCGAAGCATATGCCAAAGAAGCCGGCCTGCTCTTTTTTGAAACATCCGCAAAGACGTCCACGAACGTCAAGGAGTTATTCACCGCCATCGCAAAGAAACTGCCCCTTGACCAGGCGGGGCCCAGGAATCTGAGGGCGACTCCCCGACCAGGTGTGGATTTGAGGCCGGAATCGACTGGGACGCAGGGCGCTGGGAATTGCCAGTGTTGATTGCCCAAGCAGCCGCCAAGTGGCCGTTCTCTTGAGATTATTTTGTGTCCGTCTTCCAAAGGTTTTAATCTAGCAGGCGCAAGACAAGGAAAGTATCGCGTGGGGGCCCAATTTAGGGCGCGGATGCTGGATGGAGAGGAATCTGGATTTTGCAAATGCTAGCCTAGTCGAGACCGACCATCTCACAGCACATTCGACGCTGGGGGTTTTGGCTACCGACAGGTCAGATTCCAACAGGACTAATTCGATGAGGCTGTGTGGACAAAGGCGTCCCGTGAGAAACCCTTTTCCC